CAAGGATTCCTAAGCCCCTCACAATTTGTCGCTCTGCTAACTTTCAGATACGCTCTTCACTACATCACACGCCTTGCGCATTAAACTGTGGGTCCCCTGCCTCCTTGGCAGATCGAGATCAAAAGGGGACATAATTCTCCCTCTTGATACCCGAGTACCTCGGCTCCTCGGCAATCAGGGAAGCGATACGGGCAGCTCCGATTGCTCCGCACAGGCTGCCTCTGGGTCAGCTCCATCCAAGCTGTTGTTTGGCTGATTTACTTGATGCTCTGTTAGAGGTGAGGAGCAGATACAAATTCTTAACTACACTTCGAAAGCCCCCAGAAAACCTTATTCCCTCTGGCAGCTGAACGCAGAGCCCCTAGCAGAGCAGGACCATGGGCTCAGCACAGTGCCTTCGCAGGAGGAGGAGGAGGAAGCAGGGAGCACCCACACCTTGCACACCCCAGCTGCTCCCAGCAGGGCGTTCTCTGACAGCCAGCCAACGAAACAGAGAAACAAAGTCCCTATTGGGATCTCACCTTCTGCCTGCTAAACCCACAGACTAAACTTCATTTGGGAAAGAGTTCCCAAAGCCTCGTGCACACACCTGGGCACCGGAAGCAACGCCGCTCGCTGGCTCGACGGCAAAGATGCAGAACTCGTCTCAAGCTCCTGATGCCAATATTCATGAAACATTACATCTTCATTTACAAATGCTCCCCTAAGCTCGGTGACATGGCAATGAATACAAACCACCGCTAGCTCAGAGTCTCTGTTGCATAACAAGATTTAAGGTTTATGACCTAAAAACAATTGCTTTATGTCTTGGGACGGTCTGCGGGAAGCTGCTTCGCACACATGGTATTATTTAGACACCCAAATGGAGTGATTTGCATTCGGCACATCTGGTCTACAACTGCTAACAAATGATTCTATGGGCTAATATGGACGAGTAACAGGCTGATGGAGAAACCATGATTGTAAAATGATTTTTAAAATATCTTTTTAATATAAAATAAAAATTAGAGAATATTGTTATGCTTAGCATTTAAATTCCTAGGGGGTTTAATTTGAAAAAAATACGGCAAATTTACTATCAACATAACAGCATGTGTGGGTTCTTGTACAGCCTACAGCTGCGTTCAATTTAAACTTCCAGATAATGGGATTTAACAAATGCAGGACTATGGATCCAAGCCTTTAGCAGCTCTCTGCTTTGTTAATAGCCCTACGCTCTCAGTCAGACCAAGGCTATGCTTTTAACTGCCGCGCTATTTCACATTGATGGCACCTATAATATCAACTCAACAATGCATGTTCTACAACTACATCTACTGCTACCAGTACGACTACTACAGTGCATGCATTTAGTTCAGTCCCACAGATACATACACTCTAAGAACAGGCAAGGGGAGATGTGAAATGTTTTACGGGACGACAGGTGTTTTGTTTTTTAAGTAAGGGAAATTAATAAAAACATCAAAAGAAAGAAAGTGTACAAAAAAATAGAGACATTTCTCAAGAGTTGATATGAGTCGTTTCTTGAACCGTTTCGTCTGAACAAGCAAAAAACATGCAACCAGCTGCTACTAACAAGAAGCTGGACACTGAGAGAGGATTAATAGGTGTGGACAAACCTTCCCGCTGAGAGCGCTCAGAAGAGTGTTTGAGAGGAGGTGTGCACGTCCGAGTGTAAGAGAGGCCGGAAAGTATGCCTCAGAGACACCCTCTCTCACAGCAGCCCCAACCAAGCAAGAGAGAAAACAACAAAACATAACTGCTCACACTCACCATCAAGGTCAGTAGCTTGCGTTACTAGATTCGTTATACTGGCAAGTATAAAGTACAGTAAGGGGTTGTCGGGGCGCGGGGCTCCAAGCCGGCGGAGGCGCCCGAGGTCCAGCCGTGCTGGGAGCCGTCGGAGCACCGCGGTCACCTGGGACAGCTGGGCACTGGCTGCTGAGCAGTGGGGCGGGCTGAGCTTACGGCCTTAGCGCCTTGATCTCCGGTCAGCAGGGAGGAAAGGCTGGTGGCAACAGGTTGGAAACTGGAAAAATCTCAGACTTGTGCATGAACCAAACGGGAAGGCACTAAAACCCTCTCCTGCCGATTTTTCGTTGGCTCGCTTTCCTTCCAAGTTAATCCCCCCCCCCCCATGTCAAATGTAAGATAAAAATGTCCCCCCGATGGTTTTACTTTAAAAAATGTGTTTATAAGACAAAAATGCTGTACACGCAAAAAAATGTCAGGTGGATTTAAAAGAAACGTGACACTGATAGTGAAGTTGTCTAGGAGGAGTTTGCAGCACTCAGACTTTTACGTTTCCATGGCTCAGGTCCCAATTCATAAAAAAAATATTCAAGAATGGATGAGGTCATCAAAAGCAGCCGAGGGATCTGGCACGGCCCCATCAATGGGAACAGAGACTGAGAGCCCTCGGCCGTCACCTCCTTGTGGGGATGCAGCCGGGTCAAGAGCGGGGTTTAGGGCTGACATTGAGCATGAGCAGAGGAAAACGTCCCTTTCTGCTGAGCGCAGGACATAGCTGCTGTGACAGAAAAGAGAACCTGTGTGACCTAGCAAGGCAAACTGGTGGCTGCATCCTCACAAAAGAAAAAGAAGGGGAGAGGGAAGTGAAGAGTGAACAGGTCCTGTGCAGGTAACTGCCCTGCTGCCCAGTAACACACAGGGTGCCACAAAGGGTCACCAGCCAGGAGCACTGAGGTCAGCAGCGTCTGCACATCAGAGCTGAAGGGGATTGGAAATGAGAAGGCTGCAGTCTCCTTGGGAGACCATGAGGCTAAGCAGTGAGGCCAGGGGGGAACGCAGTGCTGTGCTGCCCACAGAGGGACAGCAGCCTTGGGGCAGAGCAGCGGCGCCGCACTCTGGGCTTTGGGCTGGGGCATGTATGAAGGAGGGGTGTGCAAATTTGCAAAGGGAAAAACCCAACCGGAAAGAAGAAAAACCCCAATCATTTTTTCTTGTAATGAATCGGGCTTATAGACTGTATCACAAGATTGATGGCACTCTACTGCTCCTGGATACAATTCACTACCATGGCTGAATGGAAGTGAGGATGTCCCTTCCAAAAGCTGCCTCTGGATGGAGATGACTACGTGACACACACCGTGCCTGGAGCAGGGCTGGCTGCGCCCCACGGCTGTGACAGACCCACCTCCCTCCTGCAGGTCTCGGGGTTGGGGGGGCTCTTGTGATTCGGTTTTGGAGTTTTGCCATTTTTATGCACACGGGCAATTTTGAGGCTTGAAAGACATTTCCAAACACCATACTGCTCTTTAAACTTGCCAGAAAGGGTGTTGTTAATTTCGGGTTAGATTTAGTTTTGTATTGCAAGTTCAAATAAAAAACGAAAAAACAAAACAAAACAGAAAACCCAACAGAAGAAAAACCAAAAAACACTCAAATTAAAGACAAATGATTTTCAGGCACAGAATTGATCAATGCTCAGTTCAGTTGTAACGGGCACCAAAAGCACTCCGATTAAAAAAATAGTAATTATCAGGGAAACAATGTTAATCCAGCCAAACCCTCTGTGCCTTGCTAAGGGGCAACTCACCAGGTCTGTTTGTACGTAAAACAAAACCTGAAGGGCAAAACATGAGGAAAAGGCAGAAACAATGAAATCTGTTTTCCTGAAATCATATGCAAAATCATTCTCTTTTTTTCCTTTTTTTTTTTTTTTTTTTTTTTTTTTTTTTTTTTTTT